GTACTTTTTTGTAAGGATCTTATTAGTAACTATAGCTTTGAAGAAAGATATTATTTTTGCTGAGCTTTGTAGTTATGAGTTTTTTTTTTTTGTGCTGTAAGTTGATGCTGTGTTGGCACTAGTGAACAATGATATTGTCAGATGATTTTTTTTTTGCAAAATGTTGTTCTATGGATAATATCTGTTTTTCATAAGAAAATTTTGAAATTGTTTAAAAATAGCTCTTGAATTGAAGATATGAAACATTTATTCATTATGCATTTCTTGAACAGTCATTCAAATACTTCAACAGCTTGAAATTTTAAAAGCGTCAGAAAAATGTTGATTAAATGTAGCTGTCTGAGGGGATCAGCAGTAATTTTAGAGGAAACTACATTATACCTTATGAATCCAACTTTCAAATAGTAAGTAGCTTGGTCAGCCTGCATCTCTAGTGGGTAGGTTGATAAAGGCCATGCCACATTTGTGTGGTTTCAGAAAAATCCTGATTAATCATGGAGAGCAAAGGAAACCCTTTGTTTGTACATTACATTGGACAGGGAGTTTGCCATGTTTACCAAGCAGAACTGGCTGTCACCTCATTTTCTGGGGGAGGGTAGAAAATTGGAGACACATTGTCAGTGTGTTTATGCTGTCATAAGACAGGCTGGTTGTTAAATTATAGTAACTTTCTTTTTGAAGCATTTCAAATATTAAGCATGATGGCCAAAATGAGACATTTTAAAGATAATAGTAGGGTAAGATGTTTATTAAAAAAGGGAAAAAAGAAAGAATTAAAGAAAGGATCTTAATTCAGAGCATATTTTCCATCCATGTCTTTGGAAAGGATAGCATGATTTTTTTGCTGTCTTTGACGTTGCACATGCAGGCAGTCAAGCTAAAGGGGCTGATATCGCTTTTTAGCAGTATTGATTATTGACCGTGCGTCCTGTGTGTGATGTTGCCGCGTGATCTTGTCACACTGATATTGCTGATAGCAGTTGTCACCAGACTGTTTGTTGACTTAATGATATGTTCAAAATTTATAAAATAACCTGATAGCAAATGTCTCCATTTATTGATTTCTAACAGAACTGACTATAGTCTGGCATTCCAGCATAAAGAAGTGGAGTTGATGAGGAAGCTGTGAAGTGTGGAAAGTGTTAGCAATAGAGCAGTGTTTTGTGGAGACTTGAGTCTGCTGGTAGATCTAATTTCACATGCACTTGCATATGAAGGGAATTTTAGTGGTTGCTTTTGTGATTTACCAGTCAATATTTGCATTAATACTTTACTCCATTGAAGACTTTTGCCGTCTGACAAACTTTAGTGATAATGGATCATCTACTTAGCTTTAGATGGAGGTATGCAGTTGTGATAATCCTTAATTACCAATGAGGTTATGTTTTCTGTGGTTATAGTGTGCTTTATGCACTGTCTGTTCTATGATTATTTCCATGGCCTTAACTTGTGTCTGTCAGTCATGGGATTTGATCTCTCCATTGCTTAACTTCAGACCTTGCTCAAATAGAGCTAACTGAAAAGTCAACAGTTCGGAGGAGGAGCGTGATGCCATAACTGATTTTTCAGGATTAATTTTAGATAAGGCGCGGTTGATAATGCAAAGTGAAAAAGCTCCAGATCCTTTTTAAGATCCCTTCAGTGAGGTCAGCTGAGGAATTATGTCCGTTATGCCAGGAAGGTTGATAAAAAAAAACTAGAGATGATGGTTAGGAAAGATTTATGGGGATTTTCTGCTTTGCATCCTGGATACCAGTCTTTACACCTGACTGGTACAAATACTTGAGTCAAGTCAAGAGCATGTGATATACTGAAGCTGGTCCACTGTTGTAATTATTCTGCAGGATGGTGTTCTACTGTAGAGTTTAATTCTCCTTTGTGCATCAGGTGATTGATTTATAGTTTTATTTTTTCCAATTTATTCATAGAGATAAGGAAAAAGACTGACGGAATGTCATAGGTAGATAGAAATTCTTGATTTCCTTGAAAAAATCACTGATGAGGACATACCTAGGATAGTGCAAGGGAGGATGGGATTTCTAGTTGGTGCTGAAGCAGTGGAGAAGTTTTATCTCATCGTTTCACAAGGCAGGTGAGATTCAACTCCTCCAACTGCCCATGCATTGAAAACTCAACAGGTGGCAATACTAACACGGACGATGATTTTTACACCATCTGTCATAAAGCAAAGGGCAGACAAGGACAGATCATAGACAACAATATGAAGGACAAGATATTATGCAACTCCAGATTCATGGCTGAGGGGTCTTCTTACAAAGTCCATATCACAAAATGGGCATTTACAAGTTCAGTGTGTCATGTGCCACCATATATCAAGTTTGGCTCGATTTCAAACAATTTCATCAAATTTTGTACATTTTTATTGAAATGTTTTACAATAAAGAAATATAAAAATGTTATCATCATGTTTTTGTCTGAGTTCCTGCTTCATTAAGTGGTCCACTTTTTCAAGTTTATTAATAAAATTATTTTAAAATGTTTTACAAAAAAAAAAAAAAAGAGAAAATAAATACTAAATCTGTGTAGTGAATACATTTATATTAAAATTAAGAACAAAATAAAATGCTTGACCTATTCGTGTATAAATTAAGTCGTATAATTACCGTACTCATATTGGGCATGTTAAGATGGTGTTTATTGCTGTAGGAAGAGCAAGCACTGCATCAGTGTTGACTGTTGTAGTTGAGACAACACAACTTCCTTTAAAATCTGTTTGTGATCTTGGCTGGACTCTATTTGCACAAAAAACATTCTGTTCAAATTATAAATAATTATAAACAAATCCTTCATTATGCATCTTCAATAAAATTTGAAAATAGTCTTGAATATTTCTCTCCTGTATGGAGGAGTTAATGTGATGTGAAAATGGCCAAACATGCATGTTGAAAACAATTAGATGCCATGTCTACTACTACCACTACCACTACCACTACTACTTTCCCTGATGACTTCTTGAATTTTTAAATCCATAAATCTACTTAAATTTTCTTTTTTACATCTCTAATTGAACATTTAATATAGTACCTAACTGCCTTTTAAAAGCTACAAACAGCATGCATGCAAATGCAAAACTGCTTTATTTGACTTACATTATCAGTAAAAACTTTGTGAAATAATTGCAAATTATCTGGGTCTCTATTGTGTTGAAAACTATAGTATGAGAGGTCAATTTATCATTGAATAATTTAATACATATATGTACACCTCTTTTTAATTATATATCAAAAACATATGCACACATCTGTAGCATATGGTGTGATTCCATCCCTTCTTACCTCCCAGACTTAAAGGGATAATAACTCTTCGTTTTGGCCAAAGATGAATTTTCCTGGAGTAAACAACACTTTTCCCATACTTATACCAATGGTTAATGAATCCATTTTTACATTCAAAGTAAGTCCCTGTTTTTTTTCTGAAAAGTTTGGTTTTTTGTTAAAATCTTTTAAGAGATTATAACAGAGTATAGCCATCATTGGAGGTCACGTGGTCTGAAGACCAGCTTAGATATCAGAATAATAGCTATAACTGCCGTTTTTGTGGTAAAACAGAATATATTATATTTCTGTGAGTTATTCACAATGTTTTTGTTGTGAAATATAAATCTCATATGAAGAGTTATTATCCCTTTAAAGTAACTTAAAGGCAATTATTTTAGTCAGTCTGTTTTCATCCTCCCATTCTCCATCCCCATGATTAACTTAAAAGTTATTGCCACTGATTCTTACATCTCAAATTAAAAACTATTCCACCTGACACATTGTGTTAACATACAAATGTAAAAAAAGAATGGTTCTAGGGTACACTTCTCTCTGGGCACAGGCAGCCACATCTGCCGGGTACCAAATGTTCTTGCTGTCAGGGTTACTAGTGCAGGAGATAGGAGGATGAGATGTGACAATGTTTGATGTGACACAACTCACTGATAAATGAAGCAGTGTCAACAGTAACCTCCAGATGATGCCTGTGTTTGTTGATTCAGAGAGATGGCAACCTTGGCACTTGGACCAAAATTAGTGTACATTTTACTGGTGTAATCATAAACATTTTGGTTCTTCTGGGTGATGAAAAGACTCTCGTTAAAATATTAACTTGACCTTGTTTAAGTATCTTATTTTCTGTTTACTCATATTCATTCTGAGAAATGAGACAAAAAAAGCAAATCTGTTTATACTCTGTTTAAAGAAAATGATAAGAAAGGACTTACTGCTTTATTCTATGAGAAAGATTTCTTTAGTAGCTTGTCATCCTTATTCATATGAAAATATTTTATGCACCATAGGTGTGTTGTTCTAGTACTTGAGAGGTTTTTATCATACTCCAATCTCAAGAAATGACTAAATCTGCACATTATATTTTTTTCTTGGAGATAATCATTGATTTTTTGTTATTTATGCCTGAATATACTGACACTAAATGAAATATTCCAGACATGTCAAATATTCCTGCAAATCACACGGTGCACAGAATACACCAGGGATTGTGTCTATTTATTTATTTATATTTTTGATAATAAAACCAGTGCTGTTACCCAGACCTCCACATCTTCCCTAAAACAGCACTGGACAGTATCCACCTATGTATAATCTCCAGATTAGATTCATAGTTCTTTGCATCTTTGAAATTTTGCCAACTGTGCAAAGAGTACAGTGTAGAGGGCACTGATGCTGTAAATTCAGTACACAGCAATAAATTTAATACACATTTTATTTATGACAATTTGAGATGTGGTCAGTATATGCCACTTAGGAAAATTATATGCTTGAACCGAAGGTCCAGCCATCTTGAAAAGTAGCTGGACTGAATGTCTGACGGGTGGGAAAAATTCTTGGCCCGTTCTGAAAGTTATCTGCCCCAGGCAGACGGTCCAGCATTAATTTCGAACACTGGTTGTGGTTGTTAAAATTTGAGCATTTGAAGTAGTTCACATGTAAATTTTTAACTATTAACATCAATTTTATAACAGTATATGATTTTTTTAGCTGTTCCCTGTTGATGAAGAATGTATATCTACCATGCTGACATTGGAACACCTGATCAACATGTGCCAAGAACCTGTACGAGTACTGGCTCCTGCCACTGAAAAGTGGTAAGATCAATCACAAAAGTATCCAATTTATTTGGAAAAGAAAAGAAATTTTGAACAATTGGAATTTTGGGAAATGAAAAGGCCTTAGATCCTTTGCAATTGTGTAATATTTGGCACTAATCAAGTTCGTACAAGTTCAATGAAATATGTTTGTATTTTGTTATGATAGAGAAAATTATAATATTGTGGCAATATTTTTGAAGAATTTTAAAGCAAATTTACAAATGCAGAGACTGTCATTTGTTAAATATGTTTTTCATGTGTGTTTTGTCTTTTCTCTAGGTGTCCTGTGTACTCTGAAGAGTCCAGTCAGCAGAGAGGGACATCAGAGTCTGCCATCCATTGTATTCCTTTTCCTTTTGACTTGATGAAACTTTTGCCAAAATGTCAGCAAGTGGAAATCTTGTTTTCAACTTTTATTGAAGGTATGTTCTGGCATGTTCACTTTGTTAAATTTAGCAAATATTTATTAATTTTTTATATAGGACAGATATCACTATTCTTATTTTGTCTCCAAATGTTTTTTTTTAATGTCAGGCAGACTGCAGTCAATTTCTGTCTTCTAAGTCAGTTATCAAGTCCAGTGCCACCCAGAGTGGAATTTGAATTATATATAATATACATGTTGTCAGTATCTCTACAATTTAAATTTTAAATCTGATGAACTTTCAGAATCTACAAATTTTGCTCAAAATGACCCAATGTCAGAGCCTGGCACCCCCACCCAGCCCCAGGGCAGTCCAGCCCAGTCTCCAAACGCCATCCTCTTCCAGCTCCTGTCAGAACAGCTGAAAGACTTGCATGACAGGGAGGTGGAGATGAACATGGCAGAATGTGGTACCTTTGTTCAGCTTATACAAAAGAGAACACGGGATGTACAGGAGCAACCATATCCTTTTACAACAGCCAACATCACTCATGAATCCACACCTGAGAAGGAGTTGGACCTGAGGGAGATAGTTTCTCGGAGTATATTGTCTTCATGCACAGACAAGACCATCTCACAGCATAGTGTCACAGCTGTGCAGGGACGACAGACAGAGGAATCTCATGGACAGGAGAGCAGGAGTGGGTGTGGTCAACACAGGGTACCCAGGTGGAACTGCTATGTTAAAACGGTGGGACAGGGTTGCGTTATTGTCACTTTCATCCCAGCAACATACCTGGATTTAATATCACTTGCACCCTCTAGTAGCAGTGGGGAGGAGAGTTCAATGGACAGAGAAATGGAAGATGCTGTGAGAAGAAATAAAATTCATGAGGAAGAGTCTCAGACAGATGTTATTGAAAACCCAGAACAGACACAGTGCTGGGAAAAGTCTTCAGAAACAGATGTCATCAATGAAAGTTTTGCAGACATCCCTGATACAAGATTAACTTCAGAGAAAGAGGCTTCCAATGAGAAAGATCTGAATGGAAATGAACAAATAGAATACAAGAAAGATTCATACTTCACAAGTAAAAAGTCTCTGACTCTTCCAATGTTTATCTACCAGTGCTCCATGTCCAGCCTGACGGAGCAGCTGGTCTCTAAGTGGAGTTACATGGAACCTCAGGACATCTTCCAGGATATGACATTTACTTCATGGGACATGGAGGAAGATGTCATGGAGCCCCACGCAACACGTGAGGGGTCCCAGGACACCGTTGTCAACCGTGGGGAAGAAGAGGGGTCAAGAAGCCGCCAGGACACATTGACCAGTCCAGTCAAAGATAAGTTGCACGTGTCATTTGACAGGCGGTCAACTGAGATATTCACTGGGGCAGAGGAACTGAGGAACCACTGTAACATGATGTGTGATGCCTACTACAAGAGCTTTGTCACAGGTATGTTTTTTTTTTGAAAGACAGACATGAATTAGAATGTATTCTTCAGTAGTGATGTTTTAGACCTCTTTGTGACAACTTAAATTTTGTTTAATTGATACATGATGATCTTTTTATAATTTTAAAATGAAAAGATTTTTTAAGGAATAGAGTAATAAATTTAATAGCTGTAAGTGTACCAAATAAAATATTTTGATGACATATTTTCACAAGGGGTTTACAAGAGTCTCCAGCAAGGACAGGAAGTAAGTGGAATGGACACTGAGTCTGCTATCAGTAGCATATGCCAAGAGAGCGTGCCTCTGCAGATTGACATCACAAGGTAGGAATTATTATCCACAAAATTTATTCTTACTGAAGTTGTGTGTGCTGTTATAGTTTGTTTCATTAGGTTTGTTATTTTATGGACTATATTTAGATTTTGTACTTTTATGAAATACCACCTTCCTGATTACAAAATTATGAGAGACTTGTCAGTAAAACTATGTGGTTATTTGGTACTTGATATCTAAAACATTAGGTTTTATTTTCTGCATTGTTCAGGTACTTGCAAACAGTATGTGGTCACATTCAGAAGGTGATAGAGAGGCACAATAAAGAGCAGTGTATGAAGAAGGACCTGGAGATAGCAGTGCCTAAGAGCCATGTCATATTTGCCAGAGAACTTGGTGATGTGGAGGAAGAGATAAAGAGCACATTGTCAGGGTATGCACACACGCATGCACAACATTTTGTGGAAGAGAGCATGTATATATTTTGATAAATGTTACAAAGATTTTTTTATTAGGCCTTTGTTATTTTTTAAAGATCAGGTTCTATATGTGGAATATTTGAATTGAGTCTTACTATTTCCCCCTCTTTGTATTATACATAAGTGCCACCTGTATTTTGACCCCTATAAGTTAATACCTGTTTGCTTCTTGCTGCTTACAGCAGTGGCATTGCCCTCAGTATTTGGTCACAATTTTATCTGACTGTTATTGCCATTGATCAACAAAAAGATATGTGTCATTTTGTTTTCAGAGATTCTGGTGTGACCATGTCCAACCCGAACTCCAACAGATACTTCCAGCCCTCCAGGGCTCACATCAAGTTTCCAGTTTCAAAGCTGACCTGCAGGTGTACAGAGTTGGTGAAAGGACTGCATAAGCAGATCAAAAAGAAATTTGCAGATATCTTGGCCAAAAATTTCAGATCTGTCTCTTCCTGTCCAGATTACTTCTATTACAGGCCTCCACTCTTGCCCAGACGTCCCTCTGTAAGTCAGCATGTGAGACAAGTTTTTTCAATTAAAACACATTTTATCCTATTGAAAAAAAATTTGATTTTAATTTGTTTTAATTTTATATACAAAGATCACTTATACTCAGAAAATATATAATTGTAACAGTTAATTTGTTAAATATGTAGGGAAATACAGAAACAGAAGAGGAAAAAGATCCATTCTGTGAGGGTAAGTAAGATTTGTATGTCAAAGACTATGACCTAAGCCAAAACATATCCTAGTTGTTGCAAAATATTTTAATTCAATACATTGCGTTGGATAACTTTTATGTGGGGTAATTCTGCAATTTACAATAAAGTTAAAACTTAGTGTGCACCCTTGATATTTGTTAATAGAAATATTAATATTACTTTTAGAGTACTTACAACTTGACCCAAAATCTCTGCCATGTTCTAATATTTCCAGACCCGGAGAAAGAAGAAACTGAGGATGACATCTTCAGGTCAGATGCAGATGAGCCTCCCCAGTCCCCTCTCTCCCCTGCTGCCATCTATGGTGGAGACTCACCATCAACCTCCATACGCACAGGGACTATGAGTTCCTTCCTTGGTGATGAGATTGGGTCCCTGAACATGGAAGATGATGACAATGATGAAGATGTGCAACCACTGTTCTTACACTTGTCGTGCACTGTGAAGACAAAGAGCATATTTGACTCTGTGCCAGTAGGAAATCTTGTCACCTGTTTGAGTATGTATTTTAATACTATATGCTCTACGTATATTTTTTACAGTATTTATCTGCTTTAGATCAGTGTTGTTTGTATGATTTGTACCTACAAAACTCAGTAAATAGATTAATTCCAAGTCATATTTTAATTTTTTATGTACTGTTTACTCTCTTTCTCTATTTTGTAATAGGATTTCAGTAGATGGTAGTTAGCAAGTGATCTTCAGTGTTTGTTTATATACAGTGGTGTATCCTGGACACTACATGAATGGGGCACCTTTGACACCCTTTACATTGATATGCCTTTTTCCATGAACTTCTAGTTTGACTTCATTTATCAACTTGATTGGGAAGGAACATTTTGCAACACAATTTAAAACATCTTTTTTAGAATCATTTCTAAAAAAATTAATTTTCAGATGAATTCTGTGAATGTTTTGAAGATGAAGGTCCAGATGTTGACTTGGGTGAACTGACTGTCACCCTGGACATCATCTGTTTGACCCTTCCACAGGACACTGATCTGTCCACACAGAGGTTTAAGCCCAACTTTAATAGGGCCTTTTCCATTGGGAGCGCATACAGTAGTTCCCCTCCGGGAGATCCTGCTAATACAGAGGAGACCATGAGTGCTTCAGATGTGGGGTGAGTATGGGATCAAAAGGGAACACAGATGTCAGATTTTTTTAAAACTCTAAGAGGTATTTAATCTGTGTGAATTACGTAATTGAGAGATAAATAAATAAATAATCTAAAGCTGATTTTGTGACTGTGCTGTATGCACAACTTCTGTTTAATTAATATTTTCATTTGCTTTACTTCGCTTGCTTCTGAGTTAATTGCTTATATCCAGAATTATGTTAGTGCCATTGTTTTAACTCTACTAAATCATTCCATGTTAACTCCCAGGCTTTAAAGCTTAGACTTTTGACCCCAAAGCTTTGAACTACTTCTTTGCCACATTTTTGATATATAATTTCCCTGTTTCAAGAATGTGTAAGATTTGTAGTAATAATTGTGAAAAGTATTTGAATTAGTCTTTGGTTGTGTTGAAACTGAAGTAGTTGTAAAAATGTTCATATAAAAAAACTAGGAACGTGAGCAAATGCTACTACAGGGTGATTTGGATAACCATCCTACAAAAGTTCCCTTGGTTATTGAAAATGTAAGAAGGCATTATTGAAACGGGTTCACTTCTCTACTTCTTTTCTATTCATGTCTCCTCTGGTTTCAGCACTAGTTACAGTGTGGATTCTGAAAAAACTATTGCTCCTCCCGAGTCTCCTACCAGAGCTGGGTAATGGCTGCTTTACACTCTCATCCATAGTTGCTTTGTAGTTTGTGGTGAAGTGTAAAGTAACCAGACTTATTGGTTGAAAATTGCAATGTTTCAGTGGTTGTTATAAAATGGTTAAATGTGAAAGGCCAGCTTATATAACTGTTATGTGTTATCTAAATCTAACAAACCCATTTTGAATAAAAACGACTCAATAAATATCTGCAGTTAGCTTGCAGATGATATGCAGGAGTAGGAGTTTAAAATAAATTAAGGGCATTCTTAACATTATGGTATTATTAGATCAAGGAGAGCTGTACATCATTAGATGAACAATTTTTATTTCTCAGTTTTCGACGTAATGCCGACCCATTGGCCAATCTCCCAGTGGTACAGAAGCAAGCTGTCAATGAATGCAAAGCACAGGTATACAGGACAGAATTTTACACATTGTGATAGACAGTTGGATAATAAAATAATAAGAAAATCGTCTTGGAAATTGTGTGACCATGCATGCAATTGAAGAAAGTATGTAAAGCATCCATTTTTTTCATCCATGCAAAACTATACAAACACAACCTATCTCATTTGAACAGCATATTATCTTTTAAGTCAATCAATTAGGGAAAAAAACTTTGTCTCAAGTTAACTGATTTTATGTTAAAACATCAAACTTCAGATTGAGTGGCTGTTGAAAGATGAGATAGCCTCAGGTGCATGTCATATTTCTCCGCCTACTGTAGAGACACTGGAGATGGTCTCCAGACATGTCCAGGAATCCAAAGGGAAACTGTCCTGTATCACAGAGCAAGTACCTCTACAGTTTGTGTATGGACCACAGCAGAGTCGCTTGAAGTTCATTGAGGTATGAGTCTTTAGAATAATGCAGCTTTGGTGGTATGCATACTCTCTCTGTATTGGGATTTCAGCAAATTTTAAGGCATTAATAACAGAACCAAAAATCAGTCAGCATAAGAATGGTTTTTACTTCATATCTTGTTTAGAATTTATACTATAAATCTAATTATTAAAAACCTTTTCTTTTCTGATTCTGATATATTCTGATTTTTAGGAGTTTGAGAGAATGAACATCCCTGGTTACTACCTGCTAAAAGAGGGGGACTTCTACTACTTGGTCGTTGACAAAGCCACTCTATTTTTGGAGGTCCATGCCAATGCCATTAAGTCTGCGCTGGACAAGATTAGCAGAGACAATTCACCTACCAGAGGAGAAGAAAAAAAGATAAGTGATGTCTTCATGGCTCGTTCAGGCACCTCAGAACCTGACTTATCAAAGGAGGCTCAGTCATCAGATCTTGATGCTACCCTGGTACCAGGTGGTGTGGACAGTGCCACCACTTCATTGTCATCAAAGTTGAGAACAGACAACGGCCCAGTGACCTTCAATCCTGTCATCTCCTTGAAGGAACCAACCCCTGACAGGACTGCTTCTGCTGACCCCCCTCACTCAACCTCAGATAATACCAGTGGAAGCTCTGTACAGGTTCTGGATGACAAGAATGACTCAGCAAAAGATCTTTCTTCTAATCTGATGCAATTTGTGGTGGAACAGAAGGATCACGTGACAAACCAAGCCCAAGAAGCAGTCACATCAGGTAGCAGTTTCAGTGACACTGTCACAGCAGCAGTAGAAAGTGCCTTCAGACCTCGCAGCCAGTCAAGTAAAGATGATGTCAGACGAAAACCACAAAAAGAGTCCCTGAGTATGACTGAGAGCTGCGATAAAGATAATACAGCATTAAGAATCAAAAAGTCTGCCAGCTCTCCTAGCATGCATGATGGCAGTGAGGATATTCTGATGAAGGAGGTGGACATGTCATCTCAAGATGTGAGAAAGCAAGGCCGACCCAGGTCCAGTCTTCCTCAAACTCCAGTTAATGGTGCTAGCATGAATAGGTCTAGAAACTCTTCTGGAACTCCAAAAAGTATTATTTCAGGCATTGGGACACCTAATCGCTCACGCCATTCCTCTGGGACTTCAAGATCGAGGCATTCTTCTGGTAAAATATCCCGGAAAATGTCTGGTATATTTGATAGCAGCAGTCATGGGAGCTGCACTGAAGAAGGTATGTCCAGATTATTTAGTCTGTTTGATAGCAGGATAAACTTTTGATTCAACTTTGTTATCAACACTGATAATTGCTACCAACGTGTGTTATGTATGCCTTTTAAAAAATTGAGTGAATGCAACAAAAAGTATTGAAAAGTATAGCGTTGAATAAATGAAACCAATAATAGATTGTGAATTATGCTTGTTTATATTATGTTGCTATTTTATATAGGCTACGATGGAGACACAAGCAGCAGTGAAAGTGCATTTCACGTACTTTTTGGTATAATAAGATTGACATTAAAATTTATTTTCTGTGTGTGCTATATAAGCCTTTCTTTCTTTTTTTGTTTCTGTTATGTTTTATGCTGTTAATGATAATTAGGAAAGTCTCTCTTGATGCATGTACTCACATTTTGAAATTAGTACTTCAATTTTCAGTAACTTTTCCCAGTAGATTGAGTGAAAGAATGTTCAGAGAAACATGTTCTGTTGTTGTGCATTGGCATTTATTTAACTTCAAGTTATAGTAAGACAATTTTAAGAATTGGTTATATAACATAGGAGTCATTTAATTACTTTGTTTTGTTTTGTCTATCTTCATTTAAATTATCTTTTTATCTTCCTTTTTCTTATTATTGTTGTCTTTTATTGAAGTTGAATATCACTGATAATCAGTGACTGGAAAATATAAGTTATAGTTATATATACCACCTTATAACTAAAAAAAAAAAATGTTTTGTTTTCCCCTTTCATGTTGTAAATGGCGTACAAGTTTGAACAGTTGGAGCCCAATTAAGATGGCCTCCCATTCTAGTGCTTTACACAAACATTTGTGAATGTTTTAGGCTATGAAGGTGACTCCAGTGATTCAGATGCTGAGGGGGGTATGTTGTCAATGCATGACACTGGTCCACAGCAGCCTAGACTGCCAGACTTCTGGCTACTCATGAAGGTCAACAGGGACAAAGTGGATATCTTCTTCCACACCAGGTAATATAACATAACTTCCACACCAGGAGATATAACATGGCATCTACTTCCACACTGGGCAATATAACATAACATCTACTTCCACACTGGACAATATAACATAACATCTACTTCCTCACTAGGCAATATAACATGACATCTTCTTCCACACCAGACAATATAACATGACAGCTTCCACACCCGGTAATTTAACATGACATCTACTTCTACACCAGACAATATAATATGACAGCTTCCACTCCCGTTAATATAACATCTACTTCCTCACTAGGCAATATAACATGACATCTTCCTCCACACCAGACAATATAACATGACAGCTTCCACACCCGGTAATTTAACATGACATATACTTCTACACCAGGCAATAAAACATGACAGCTTCCACACCCGGTAATTTAACATGACATCTACTTCTACACCAGACAATATAACATGACAGCTTCCACTCCCGGTAATATAACATCTACTTCCTCACTAGGCAATATAACATGACATCTTCCACACCTGGTAATGTAATGTGACAACACATGGCACATACTCCCTTACAAGGTTATATTACATGACAACTTTCACACCTACTAAGATGTCTTGATAACAGTGTTAATGCATGAGCAGAGTATTTGTCAGTTTAAAATGAAATAGTTGTTCTAATGATTAAACTATAAAGAAAAGTATTTAATACCAACTGTGAAAAGTTGTTACAACTATCAATGTCACTTTCAGCTACACAGGCGAGGAAGAAACAGAAGACTTGGTGCATATGAAGATATTATACAATAATGTCATCAGTAACATCAGAGAGACAGGAAGGATTGTCAATCAGGTGGGTTGCAAGCTTTTTTTTCTGTGAATACTTCCTGTGCATTAAAAATGATTCCTTTGAGATAATTGAATATATTTTTGTAGCGACTTCTGCTGCAAGACCTCCATGACACCCGAATGTGCAATAGCCTGCTGGTGCCAGAGGCAGATGAGGATATCTCCTGGAAGAGGGATCTGGAAGCCATGCATGCCTCTAGAAGGAGTGATGGTAAAGCTTCTCTTCATTGATTAGAAAGGGAGCTAGAAAATTATGAAGATTTTTAAAGAAGTTATTTGAAGAATGCATACTGGTTTTGCTAGTAATTGGTTTTTGAAGTTGTAATTTTATACCTGTATTTCAGTGTGCACCAAAGTTGCAAAGAATGTAGAAGTTGGGTAATTTAGTTATGATTTAACTCCTTTGTTATTTGACTTAAGAATCAGATGAAGAAGAAGATCTTGGCCCTAAGGAAGGTTACCTAGCTGCTGCTCTTGACTTCGAACCAGGGCACTTTGCCTGTGACTGTGTGTGGAAACATCAGTTTACACTGCACCCAAGGTTAAAAACAGGACTGGGGAGAACTGGGCTGTCTAGAGGTAAAAGCAGGGGTGACGTTTGGGAATAAAAAACCATGATAATAATGTACAATTACTGCCTGGTACAAATTCTGAAGAATGCTTTATTACATATGCAAATGTAACACAAGTACTCTTAAAAAGTCATTTTAAATGTGTCTGATGGAGATAATAATGAAATTTTGGTTTTGCAATTGTTTTCAAATTTGTATAAATATATCCAGAACATATATAAGTCATGAATATCTTTTAGAAACAAAGAAATTTGCAGTCATAACAGTTGTGGTATGTTTTAGGTATCCAAGCTCTGAGATCAGTGCTGAATGCCTTCTCTGTGAACAACAGGAAAAACATGTTTGTGCTCAGAGAAAATAATGGAAACGTGTTCTACTTGAGGTAGGAAAACTGCACCTCTTAAATATTAAGAATATTAAGGGTTTTTTTTGTTAATTTTTAGTATGAATGTGTAGGCAGAATAAAATATTTGAGCATAGGGCTGTTTTTTTCTGATACCTATGCCATGGTGGGTTTGGGATTCTCCCAATACATATATTTATATATATTGTATCTCCTTTGGTAACTCCAGGGTTAGTGACTGTATCCCTGTAACACAGTCTGTGCAATTAGGGGATTCAGGGGGGCCTGAAGACCAGGTAGATGGATCAAAACTGTCAGAAGGTAAGGGGCATAAAAAATTATACAGGAAACATTGTCTTCAATAGTGATTCCAACTTTTTTAAGAATAGAATTTAAGGCATTCCTTATTCAAAACTAAAATATTTTCATAGATGATATATGTTCCCAGAATCCAATCAAATTATTTTGCATTTTAGTTGCCATGACTAGAGATGATTCTTCAGCTTCGGGGTTTCCATTTAGCAAGGTACTGTATGTAAAAGTGTTCTTTAAGTGTAGCCACAGCAGTACTGTATAAATTGTTTCTTGCCCGTGAAATGTGTTGCCTTTGATTATTAAGCATGAAGCGCGTAACATGTATATGTAAGTATAAATGTTGACTGCTCTCTGTAGGATTTAAGGATGCGGAGGTTATCCTCCACAGACAGAGATCCAGAGATGCTGTCCCTGTCCTCATCAACCAGCAGCAGGATCTTCTCCAGGAAGAACGAGGAATGCATCGAATTATCTGTCCATGGCATAACAGATGCAGGTGAGTAGATATTACTTTGTAAGAGAAAAGTGTATTGGTCTTTGAACCTTAATGGCAACAAAAATCCTATAAATATGTTCAGTGAAGGATTTCACAAAAAAAAATGGAAAGCAAGTCACCGAGTTAATGTTCAGCAAATGTTAACAATAGGCCAAGGAGTCGAGATATGTCAGTTCAATTCAATAAAGCACATCAGCTACAGGGCAAAGCAGAGTTAAGCATTAAGGTCGTGCAATGCAATGAATAGATTAAAAGCATCTAAAACGGTATGAACACAAAATTAAAAAATTTCATACGTAAGATATACATAGAAATCATTGATAAACATTAAGTGGTAATAATAAGGGACATCGGGCAAATTTGTGGTAGGAAATGGACAAGTGGTTGGGGAGGATGGATAAATCTGACTAGAAATTGTTAGAAGAAAATCAATGTTATATTTGTGTTATGAGAAAATCAGTTATGTTTGACTGATGCTAGTTCAGATGGCTGTAGCTGCCTCAATATTGGTATTATATTTACTAAAACATGAAATATGATACTTGAAAGTACCACTTCATGTAAATATTTTATAGATAAATGGCTTTATTTAATAGATGATGCTGTTATAAAAGCTGCTTGCAATCAAAATTTAGTTGCACTTTTGTTGTCTTGTCCCAGGCCCTGAAATCAAAGAAGATCTGATAGATGTATTGAAGAGGAAGATGGATGATGCTGTGTTGGATGTGATATCTGTGATGTTGGCAAGAAATGCCATGTGTAAGCTGACTGTAGATGATGTTCAGGTGAGAGGGAAGAAGGGATAATGATGCTTTCATAGCTTGATAATTTGAATGAGTACAATATTTGAATCTGCAGAATTTTCCTTCCTTCCTTGGTAGCATCTTTTTTTTTTTTTTTTTTTTTTGGGGGGGGGGGGGGAGACTTTAATCCTAAACCAAACTGGTCAGTAAATGACCTGAAGTATACATATTTTAATGAAGTCTTTCCAAGAACACTAATGAACAGTTTTCTAGAATATGAATGCAGAAAATGCCTATAAACCAATGTTCAGTTTTGAAATGCAAAGTAAATTAATTTTTAAATAGCACATTGTTTCTTCTAGTTTATACAGCGGCCCTTTACAGCTCCTAAAGAGGTGCTACGTCTGGTTCCCCCAGCTGCTGCTATGCATTACCTCTTTGCTTTCATGCACTATCTTCGCCAGAACATGAGGCAGTTTCTGTTTGTGCCAAATTACATAGATAATAAAGAGGAGCATCACTTCCTGGTAAGCCATGAATCTACAGTCACTACACTTTCTGATGATATCTTACTGTACAGTATACCTTTCACTACTTTAAATTACACATTGTGTTTTGGTTATGATATTATATATTAATGATAATTTATAAATTTTATAAATTGTTTAATTACAAATTTATCCTAGATTTTGATTTTGACTGTTTTTGATGAGTAAATGAAGTGTACCATTTTTTTAGGATTACTCTGAGGAAATTCCATCATCTGGAGATGTATTTCTGTATAATCGACCTCATGCCACAGGTAGAAAAGGTAAGGATGAAATGGACTATTGTGAACCAAGATTAAATGATTGTTTGATTTATGGGTGTGAATGGTATTTTGTTGAAAAATGGAACTTATTATCACCAGGAGTGATAGTTTGGTTTCAGCTTTTACAGTTAATCACACTGAACAGGCTTTGTGTGAACATTTAATTTTAGGATTATATATAGCTTTTGAATATTTTATCTTTTCAGGCATTGCATGTGTCCATTTGAGACTGGTGGAAGGAAGTGGAAGTGCAGTTCAGCCATTAGGAGGTTCAAAGCCCTCTCCAAATGCTTACCAAGAAGGTTTGGATCCTGCTGACTTTGATACCATCTCTACTGCTGTCAGACACGAAACCAGTAACAAGAAGAATCCAGGTAAGAATGAATGGGTAGTGATTCTGGCTTGACATCCTGACATTTCAAAGGGCAGTACCATGAACTAAAGTAATTTTCACTCTGCAGTTCATGTTTTGCAGTTTGAGGTAACTTCAATACAAGTCACACATGGAAGTTAAATTAATGTAGTGCTTTTTGCCACAGGACCAACGGCTATTTGGGTTTTCTTTTACGAAATAAAGAAATGTTGGAAATGTATATAAGATAATTTAGTTTAGATTTGAAAGTGCTCCTTACAATATATTATTAAAATTTTACACAACTTAGGTTTGATATCATTTTCTCACTAGGTCCCCTGTCCTTGATTCAGCTGAGTATCTGGGAGAGGGGAGATGTAGACATGAATTTTCTCAAGGAGAAGCTAACCCATGCTATTCGCTGTGCCCTGTGTGACATAGTGATGGAGTACCGTCTGCTGACTGCCCCTCTCTGTGAGATACCATATAGATACAAGGATGCACTGGAGGGGCTGTTCCAGTCAGTGCCTTCCTCCCCAGTAGTCTCAGAAAGTAGGTGGCATGCTAGGAGTGAGAGCATGCTGCATGAAATTTTGATTATTCAGTTAATACTGAAATGTTTTAGCCGATATTATTTGGCATACAATTAATGTGGGATGTCTGATTTGAAGCACATATAATAATCACCATTTTTTACATTCAGTGGAAGGGTGAAACATGATTTTTTTAAAAGATCAGATCAGTCAGGGGCAGATTTAGGCCGTCTTCTGGGTCTTCCGGAAGACGGACAGAATTTCAAGATTACATTGATGGGTATCTTTTTTTTTCTGTTGGAAGATGATCAAAAAAAGAGGATAGATTAACGAAGATAATTTGGAAGACTGTCAGAAAATATTTCTGGATCCTCCCCTTATTCAATATGTAGTTCTTAACATGAAGGTAGATTTGAACATTTAAGCCACCCTATTTTTTCATTATAGAAGCCAACAGCCTTCCCCATGCACCACTGAGGAAAATGCATTCAGAGTCTCCAAGAAAAGGAATTCCTGTGACTTCTCCGGGGACCCTGTCAAATACACCATCATTTTTGGACTTATTCTCCAAAGGAAGATTATCCTTTATGTCTCCTAGCAGGGTATGTTAATCTATCCAAAACTGACAGTTATCAATGTGTTGATTGAATATCATAATATATCAATACAATTGAAGTGTGTTGTACTATAGACAATTCACCCTATGTTATGCATATCTTGTACATTCAGTTATACCATTTGTTCTTCCTTCTCTTCACTGTATGCAGCCATGTACATATATATATATATATATATATATATATATATATATATATATATATATATATATTCAAAATTAACTCTTAACAATTTTGAATTAGATCTAGAGATAAGATTTTTTTAATTAGACATCTAAATAAGTCATTTTGTAGTTTATATTGAAAGTTATTTTACAAAATTTAAATATGCATGGAAAGTTATTCAATGGTTGTGGAACAAGTATTTGGGGTTGGGAATTATTTTTCTAGCCAAATGATGATGATCATAAAGAATCATTATTTTACGTTTATGTTTTTGATGAGCAGGGGTGCTTTTTCTGAAACTATTACAGAGTGGTGATGCTGGCAAACTAGACCAGCAGACAAACAGCCAGGAGAAGCTGGAAACAGATGCACAACACAAACATGAGCTAGAACTGAAGCAAAAGATCTGGAAGTATGAGATTGGTGAGAGAGGGATCCTGTTGCCTCTGTATCCCACCACAATGCTGTCTTGGCTGGAGTTTGCTGCTAAACTTGGTAAGATGTGGTAAAAATCTGATATTAACTTGCAAAATAGTTTTCTGCCTTGTCTATTAATGGTAGATTTGCATTAAGCAGCAGTGTTTATGTCTGTGGAAATGACACTAACAATGTTCAATGTGGACTCATGTCATGTTTATGGTAAGTGAATCACCAGTAAAGGTAATCGAAGCTGGTTTTTCTGCAGAGGTCTATAGCTACAGAGAAAGGGTTATCAGGAAGATTGTAAATGTGATCCATGTTTTAGTCTTCATGTCCAGGAAACCTTGCCAAATCTTTTTATATGAGCAATAAGATAGAGTCTCATATTGGTACATGTATATTTTAATTTTAGGTCATTTATAGTACAATTTGTATTGTTCACAAAATTTTCTAGGAGTTCCCTCCATTCAGAAGTTTTCTGGTGTCCTTTTGTTGCGTGTGTCTGTGGAATTTGTGCTGAAGGAGTTTCAGGCCATGGTGTCCAGCCTGTCACCAGATATCACAGTGCGAGTGTTCAAACACATATCAAAACTTCAGACAGAGGAGGATATGGGGTATCATCCATATAACCCCTCCAGAGTAACTTCTATGGTAAGTGGATATATGGGAACTGCACTAGAGAGGGGTTTATCGTGTGTGGTTGGTATTGCCACTGTATTCAAGGAGGGGACAAGGACAGTTAACCACTTTGGTCTATCTCTCACATCTTAAATATAGGAGTAGATAACAATGACAGGTTGCTTGGAGTGGGTTCAAAGTGCTTTTTATTGTTCTACTTTTGAAATTATGGAATACTTATCTCTTGCTTTTCTACCAGTAGTTTACTTTTCTTTGCAACTTCACATTCTGAGACTTATGTTTTTTATTTGGACGTTCTTTTGCCTAGCCTTTTCCTGAAAGGTTAAGTTCTGCAGGGATTTTTTTTTTACTGACTAGAAAGCAGTAAACAGGGCTCAATACAAGTTGAGAACTGTCAGGAGAGGGAGGTTGAGGAACATCATGCTTTCAGCTTGGCCTAGAATAAATGAGGTGAATCATATTCAAAAACACAACAGTTAAACAACAGGTGTATCCAACTCTGAACTGATGAATTCAAGGTCATTGCATGTATCACTGTGAAGAATACATATTTAGGGAAATAGTATAGTATTCCAGTTCTGACTTAGTAATCACTTCTGAAGATGACCTGATGCAGAAACCTGATTTCATCAGGAACAGTTGGAGGATGAGAAATTTTCAGTACCTTTTAAGTCTTGCCTAAGTCAACCCCAACCTGATCGCCTCACCTATGCAGCCATTACACTGTCTGGCTGGAGTCTCTCTCATAATTTTGCCTATGACTCACACAGTTGAATGAATTCATTAACATGGAGAAATTTAATGCATTTACCATACCAGGCTTTAACATAAACTTGTCCGTGTTTGAAGATTTTTCCTGCAATGTAAAGCTGAATTTTTTGTCAAGTTAAATAGAATAAAATAATAAGAGCTGAAAAGGAGAGAATTTGACTTGAGGATTAGGGTATGCTTTTGTGTACAATAACACATTTAACTTGGCTGCACAGCTGCTACAAATACTATTATATTAAAGTTTTCCAAGAAAGTACCCTTATTTGTTGCCTTTTATGTTGTTGCTGATCCCCAATAATTTCTTCTAAAATATTTTTGAGGTATTAATCCTCAGATCTATCTACAATGTAAATACTAAACCATTAACCAATAAAATCCCCAACAAGTTTGGTATTGAAGGACAGTTAAGTTAAAGCAACATATATTCCGCAATTTGTTAGACTCACTCTTCATGAAAGCGGCTTCCATGATCTGGACTAAAAACCAAAGTATGCATTCTTTTGGCTGTTATTTTCAGTACACATAGTGTAAACTGCTGGCATTGTCAAGTAAGTTGAAGCATCCCCAATAAACATGTAATTCAGCATTTAACAGCATACTTTTTGCCACTGACAATTCATTGTTAGAAAATACAACTATACATGATTTTGTCCATCTAATTTGGATTCTCCTATAATCAGAACAATTGGATGATGTAACAACACACCTTTGGTTTCATCAAGATCTTGAAGATGGTATGTGATCATATTGCTAGGGTTTGAATCGAGTTTAAGCATTTTATTTCTGAATCTACTCAACAGTTTGTTTTGAAATCTAGTATAAAAATTCTATATATGATCTTGCAGCTGTGTACAAAAATTGAGATTTTCAGCTTCCATATTTTTTCTTCAGTTCAGCGTCAGATTGGAAAATATCTCACAGCTGAGTGCAAAACTTGACATTTTTAGGTTAAGCATTGTTTATATAGTGCAGACTTAAAGTTCAAAATATACCTTATATCTACGCTTTCATGAAGGGTCCATCTTCCTGTTAGTGCTATATTCCCAGATTTACATTAAATTTGTAGTTAATTTAAAAGACGCTGTAGATTGATTGAAAATTTATTTTGTCAGTTGTGAATTATTCAGTGTTAACCATCTTCTCAAATTTTTTTTCATAAGCTTTAAGAGGTGAAAGTATCATTGTATAAATTTATAATGTGGCTGTTTATGTATTTAGGTATTAGTTAGGTAAGTATGAATTCGTCAGAATGTTGTTCATTCTTAAAAACAAAATACCCATTTTATGAGACATTGAGTATTAACTTGTCCTTTAAGTAAATGCAATTCTAAAGCAGCTTGTTGGGCATTATGTCTGTGATTTTTTATGTTTTGTGCCATTCATTGAATTGATTTTTTTGCTTTTCTAGAGTACAGAGAGTTCAAAAGAGTCCTCACTTGATATGGCTCAATTTGCCTGTGTGGGAACCCCAGGTAAACCAAATCATTACATTGTGATTGGTAGAAATTTTGACCAATGGAAACATTGTATTGAGCGATATGAGGAAGAAGACTCAAATGACCAGCAGTCTGCAACTCTCAGTGGGAAAGGTAGCTACTTTTAACTGAAAGAATTAATCATGAAAGTTACATTTGTGATTATCATATCTGAAAACTGACATTTTACAATGAAAGATGTCATTAGTGCAAATATAAATGGATGCAAAAAAATCACAGTATTGATCAAAATAACCTGTCAAGTCTGTAAATTTTGGTATGTTGCATTATTAGTCTTTATATGCACACAAAGCTTATTTAAATTCTCTAGTGAAGAAGAACTATCAGAAGTTCTGTTCCCTGGATAGTGAGGCAGCTCCAGAAAAAAACAGTGATCTGGGAAATAGCAGTGGACTCGCCACTGCTGCAGCACCATCTGGTGTAGAGGAAAAAGTTTTTGTACCCAGGCAGAGGTTTCTCATATTGAGTGTGAAAGATATAACAGTAAGCATGATTTTGTAAATTACTTGTGACAAATTCAATAATAGAAGAAAAAGCTATACAGTAATAAAAAGACTAGAAAAGATGAGTCATCTCAGGTGGTTTAAACTGTTGCTGATAGTGAAAGGTTTATCCCTTAAGTCAAAACCTTTCTATTTATTGGTGTATGTATATCTTGAAGGCTTTTATCAGCTTACAATAACACATTATTCCAGATGGAGCTATACACATACAACTCGGCAGCAGATGTGGTCAGTACCCTTGACCGCCAGTTTACACGACTAATTCAGTGGCACAATGCTAGGACACACCTGTTATCCAGTATTCTCAGCCAGAAGGCTGGCTTGTTCCAACATTACTCATTTACAGAATTAGCTGCAGTCAGGGGAAAGGTAAAGTCATATTTGATAACACATCACATGTTCAACTTTTTTCACAAATACTTATTTCAATTAATATTATCATTTTCAATTTGTATTGTGGCAATTAAAACCCTGCATTTTTTCTATTCTAAAGGTATTTTTAGGATGTTTAAAAGTGCAAAAAGAACATACTGCATATAGTCAAGATATTTAGAAATAAAGGAGAAAGATATTTAGAATAAATCCTCTATATTGTCAAACATTTTACTCTTGACTAGGATGCCAATCCATACATCCAGTCAGCAGATGTGGACCTTCTATTCAAACATCAGAACCCTCCTTCCAAGCCAGACTTGCAGCGGCAGCGCTCTCAATCTGTCTCTATGCATCTTCGCCCTGAGGTTCATCCAGCCCTGCCAGCAGTGGATGAACTGTTCCGTGACACATTTCCCCCTCATCCTCTACACAGGTCTCCGTTTGGCAGTTTTAGGGATCCTGTGATGAGACATGGGTACCAGCTACGGGAGGTCAGGGAGATCACAAGAAGGGAATCAGAAAAGAAGGTCAGGCTGGAGACTATATATGCCCAGTGGCAACAGAGGCAGTCAAATGCTGCCATTGCTGTAAGTAAATAAGCAGATTCAAGAATAGCTTCATCTGGATGTGTGATTGATGTTTTTACAGTGAAAGTATCTTATCATCCAAAATTGTCCAAAAGTAATTTGATGTAATGTAGAAAATGAACTTGCCAAAAATGTATGACTTTGATGTTGTTCTAAAGCTTTCCTCAGTGCAATTACTAGTCCATTTGTTGACCACTAGGTGGATCCTTGGTCAGCAAGATGGTGCTGTATTATGGACTGCTACCCCCCCCCCCCCCGCTTTATCATGGTTTATGTTTTTTTGGCACTTACCATATGGCACAGAACAATCAGATCATAAAATAGGAAGGAGGGGCGTAAAACATGATTATTTTAAAGGGAATACCAAGGAGTCCAATAAAAAATTATAAAGAGCTAGGGCAGAAAAAACATGAACCATGATGGGGGCTGGGGCACATGCTTATGCAACAAAATAATTCAGCGAAAGTAGTATTATTCACACTGAGGAATTGATTAGAGTAACACAAGTGTAAAATTTTTGGACAAGGGAATTTTTTTACATTAATTACCTTTTTAGAAAGTTAAAAGTGAATTTTTGCAATAAAAAAGCCTGGAAGATTTATTGGTTTCTAGAATATTTGATGGAACATAGAATAAAATTTCCCTAAAGGGTTAGTTTGGTTTGATTAAATAATGTTTGATTTCATGTTAATAAATATTTCTTTGGTATTATAGGAGGATATGTTGAGATTATTAAAACAAAACTCTCACCTTGTCCACAATGTGACAACACCACTGCTGTTTAGTCCATTGCGGAGGAAGACTGTCATAGAATCCACCTGTCCTCAAAAAGGAGAGTCGACCACATCTACCCCTCATGAGGAGAACTCTGTAAGTTTAGGATCTTATGTTTAAATGCCAGTAAAATGCTAATAGATAGTCAGTTGATTTAAGTGTTAGTCAGCAAGACAGTGTATGTAAGGATAGTAACTAAATGTATGTAATAGATAGTCCATGTTAAGAATGTTCAAAACTTGCAATTCAAGTTATTTTTCTTTTGCAGTGACTGATAATGTAAAATTGCTTTTTAATTTTNGTGTTTTATTATTATTATTATTATTAAAAAATTATAAAGAGCTAGGGCAAAAAAAACATGAACCATGATGGGGGCTGGGGCACATGCTTATGCAACAAAATAATTCAGCGAAAGTAGTAGTATTCACACTGAGGAATTGATTAGAGTAACACAAGTGTAAAATTTTTGGACAAGGGAATTTTTTTACATTAATTACCTTTTTAGAAAGTTAAAAGTGAATTTTTGCAATAAAAAAGCCTGGAAGATTTATTGGTTTCTAGAATATTTGATGGAACATAGAATAAAATTTCCCTTTAAAGGGTTAGTTTGGTTTGATTAAATAATGTTTGATTTCATGTTAATAAATATTTCTTTGGTATTATAGGAGGATATGTTGAGATTATTAAAACAAAACTCTCACCTTGTCCACAATGTGACAACACCACTGCTGTTTAGTCCATTGCGGAGGAAGACTGTCATAGAATCCACCTGTCCTCAAAAAGGAGAGTCGACCACGTCTACCCCTCATGAGGAGAACTCTGTAAGTTTAGGATCTTATGTTTAAATGCCAGTAAAATGCTAATAGACCGTCAGTGGATTTAAGTGTTAGTCAGCAAGACAGTGTATGTAAGGATAGTAACTAAATGTATGTAATAGATAGTCCATGTTAAGAATGTTCAAAACTTGCAATTCAAGTTATTTTTCTTTTGCAGTGACTGATAATGTAAAATTGCTTTTTAATTTTTTTTAAATATGTAAATGAACAACATTTCTAATGCAGTGCATTATTGAGAATATCAAGACATTGTTTCATGTCAAATGTTGTATATATTCCTATTTTTATTAAATATTAAATGTTGTACATTTCTTTATCTGCTTCAGCGTTCTAGACAAAACTCTGGAACCAGTGTCAAAAGCAAGCGATCAGACAGCCAGCAAGGTAAGATACGCCATACCTCTACAGCATCCCAGTTGAGTCAGGCACCAAGTCATGAATCTCCACGTCTCAGGAATCCCAGTCAAGAAGAAGAGGAAATGTGGCATGTGGACTTGAGAACTCACTTCATTCAGCTATATATGCAGTACCTCCAGCAGCTGGGCTTTATGCCTGTCCAAGTCACTGCTTCTCCCAAACATAGGTTGGTGGATTCTACAAAGGATAAAACAGCACTTTACTTTTGTATTTGGCCAATAATATTAGTATAAAATCATTTTTATTAGAATTGGAATGTTTATATATACATTCCTTTTTATGAAGATGATAAAGCATTTTTGTGATGAAATCCTAAGATTATATCTCTGTAATTAAATATACATTATAAGTGTTTGGATGGCTATTTTCAGTGATTATGACTTTAGCAATCTAAAATGCATTTTTGGGCAGCGGGTATTAGTTGATTCATTGTCAGGTCTTTTTACTATACATGTTCATGACAATGAATCCTAAAAGTGAACCCAGGAGTTATATTTCAGGATGAAGGGGAAGGGAGAAGTGCGCCCTCCCAGCAGTCAAGTCAGCATGGTACATGTGGTGCAGAAGACACTTCCAGGTGGTATCATGCTGATGGAGCTGAGCTTTAAAGACATCTTTTTCTGCATCAAATTATTTGCCTTTGAGTGCAGTAAGCTCCCTCTTGGTCAGAATGTGAATTCCCAGGTATTATGATTATACAGCTGCTGTGAATTTATGAAAGTCCCATGAGATCGGTATGGGATGTGCATTTGGCAGGTGTTAACATGGGAACATCTCACCAATGGCTATAACATATTTATTTTACTTTGGAAATGAAAAAATATTATTTTCATGAATATTATTTCTGTTTTTCTGGACTGAATTGTGGCATACTATTTTAAAAAAGAATTTGAAAGAGTATAAGATCTAGCTAATAACATGTGATTGGATAATTATTAATAGTAATATGAATTTTAATTTCCTAAAATTGGACAATTAAGACCTATTTAAACATAGGGGTTGTTTTTCTTTCAGCTTACTATGCACTTCTTAGATGAATGTGACAAAATGAAGGACCTGTCTCATGTCCATTCATTTGCCTATGACTTCCATCTTCGTTGTGTACAGCGGTACATAGAAGGAAGGCCTATGTTACATGATGGTTACCACTTGGCCAACTTTCTGGCTGACTTTATCAAATGTTATCCCAACCCTCCATCCTTCTCAAGGAACTGTGTATATGAAGGTACAAAATATAACTGACATATTGTTTTTACAAGCTGCTCTTTTACACTTCAGACAAAAAAGCAAATAATTAGAAACAAATGTTAAAATATAAAGACAAATACTACCATAACATTTGTTGACCTTTGTAAATGCAAGCAGCTGTGTAGAGAAATCGTTCTGGTGTCACTGCGTCACTGATAAATTATTCACTTTAAGAATATGTGAAGTGCAAAAACATACGTACAGTATAATTGATTTTAAATTTTTAATATTTTCAGTAATACGTTTAAGATAATATACATTTTAGGTGTCCATGAAACCAGAGACACCAACAGCCCCAACACCCATCTTTATGATTACATACTGAACCATGACAAGATGTACAAGATGAAGTCTGTCAAGATGAAGCCTTCCCCTGGCACTGATGACTTGGTATGTACCAAGGCCTGTATGTAAGAAGCATTCCCTCGGAGCTGAATGTGTTCAGTTCAATTGTACATAAATTACTTTCTACTTGTATTTGTTTAAATTTTATAGAGTTAAAAAAAACTGCAGAATAGTTCCTTCATTCAAGCACAGTTTCATCCATCTAATTGTACTCTTGCAATGGCAGTTGTTTAGTATCGCACAACATTAAGCTATTTTAATATTTTAATCTTAAAAGATTTTGTTTTTATTCTTGTAAATATATATTCCAAATTTTGTAAATATATTTTCATAATAGATTTTCATTGCTATCCAACAGGAGGCCCAGTTTCCTCTCCGTAACCAGTATGCCCTTGTCTCTCACTTTACGAGACGAGCCGCACTGGATGTTCAGGATGACACAAAACAGAAGTCCAGTGATTTCAACATTGGACTTGTTATTACTCATGATGCACCTGTGAGATACAGTGAGAAAGACAAGCAGGACACCATTTCTCTGAAATACTATGTGATCTTAACCAGTAAGAGGGACTTGTATCCAATCCTTATGTTGGAGAAGTGGCTTGGGATGACCAGGTTAACATCCAGTACACAGAGACAGTCTATAGGTAAGTTCTTTTAGATTATCACAAATACAAGTACTGTGCATTTATATTATCTTTTCTTTCCATTTAGTTTATTGGCCTCTGTGGTTGAATATAACAAGTTTCTTATTTCATACACCTGCATATGAAAATTCAAGTATGTTTAATATTATAAACACTAGGAATATAACACGTTTTGTGAAGTTTATTTTGACAAAGAAGGTAGCAGTAATTCTGTGGTGAAAATATATTAACAGGGTCTGTCAGTGGTAGTGTCCCTGAGACAACTGTGTACTCTGTGACACCGACTGACATCCCCCCACTGCCGGTCAGCCAGCACATCAATGTGCGTCCAGAAACTGAGCTGTCCAGGTTTTCTAAGGAGGTGACCAGTGTCAATTACCTGGGTTTTACAGCCAATCACCAGACGCCAATGTATGCTCTGTTGGAGAAAGAACAGGAGGCTGCCAGGTAGAAAGGATGAGCTGAAAGTGTTACATGTGCTGATTAGCTGTTTTAAGGTTTTTTTATATGTATATTTTAGATCATTTTTGCATCAGAAAGTTGATAACTCCCTAAAAGTTCTTAAAAGATATTTTACAAAAGACTGTTATCGTTTTATATCTGTTTAAAATTTCAAATTAAGAAATAATTTTTCCCAACCCAAGTTTGGAGATAAAGAAAATTCTATTTTCATTTCCAGAGAGCGTATATCCCAGATGGTGGACAATGCTAAAATTCAGTGCCGTCGAGACATCCTGTGGAACAGACTCCTGGTCAGTGATGTCAGGGAGGATGATAAGCGCAAGGGGAGGAGTGACACTGAGGAGAGCCGAGGAGACAGGGTGAGGACACTGTTCAAATTTCATTAATATGTTGAAGATATTTTTGATATCATATGTTCATTGATATTATATATTAAGTTAAAACTCCAAAAAATTAAATTGGGCAATTACAGATGCCACTGGTTATTTTACCATCAACATGCGCAATGATGACTTCTTTGATTTATTGTCAATGAGTTCTTACTAAATTGTGCAACAGCAAAACTAGCATGCACACATATAAATGGTTTCTGGTCATCTGTCAGTGTTCAGGAATATGAACGACATTGATTGACTTTTCTGTATTGAATACCTAATCTGTGCATTGTTTTGCTTGGTTTAAAACTGTTCTTTCCCATACTTCAGCTGTCAGATTTCATGTCAAATGATTAACCATAATATAAACCTTTTTAATTACTTTATATTGAACACTAATATTCCAGCAACTGATGATGAAGCTAAGTTTCGCGGAGTTCATGGAGCTCTTGGAGGTGGTCCACAAAGTACCCTTGGGGGACATTGACAGCAGGTTGATAGCCTTCAAGAACATGAGTATCCAGTGGTTTCAGGGTCTAGCACGGGTCCTCATGGCCAAACCTGATTATGTAGATAATCACAGATATTTTGTTAGTCAGGACCAACATGTGCAGCATGTGGTAGGTGAAATAGCAGGGCTCTTTGACATCACACATTTCAAATATTCATGAAATACATGAATATTTTTAACTTGTACAAGTTCTTTGTGCTATTCATAATAACAAAAAAGAAAAAAAAGGAGTAAATGGTTACAGCAATAAATGTGATTTCTGTAATAAGCTCTTCCAAGGAGGTTATATTTCACTTATTTGTCTGTTTGTTTGTCACCAGCTTACTTAACTCAAAGGTCATGGGTGGATTTCAGGACAGGTCATAAATGGCTTACTAGTAATTAGATTTTGGTGATAATTAATTAATTAGTTGGTAGATTGATTAATTAATTGATTAACTAATTAATTAATTGTTAATTTTTAGAAAATTAATTGTCTTGACTGAGGTCTGTACAATTTTGAGTGCTTTGAAATGTCTGGTTAATTATTTGTTTATCATTGCAGGCCATACCCAATCCTAACTACTTGGATACATTTATTTTATTGAGTCTGGATAAAATGAACAACAAAGCAGTGAGTTTAAGCAATTTATTTATTGTTTGAATAAATATAAATAGTATGCACTATCAGTATTAACCATTGCCTTTGGTATATAAGCTGGGTCAGTTAAATGTTTTAAGATTTTCACAACAACTATTATGGTAAAAACATCATTCATGAATTTAGCAAATTGGCATGACAAAGATGATAATTGAAAAATCATTTTAATGTGTTTACACATGCTGCCAAATATATTATCAGAAGTATGTCTGTTTCTCTCTCCCTAGGACTTATGTGCTGTGTATAGAGACACCGTGGAGGAATCATCTGTCTCCAATCCTAGTCGCCCAGCACAAGCTATGCAGACACACATAGAGGGCTTCATCAATGCTTGCTGCTACCACATGTGGGCAGGCATCACCTAGAAACAGATATCTTTTCCCAAGAAAAGATTTCTTATCAGAGGACATGTTTTAGGGGTTTGCTTAGGGGGTAACTTTATGCATTGATATAAAGTGAACTTGTTGACTGATAAGCAAAATATGAAGACCTAATTTAAAACATTAAACCCTGTTAGCTGAAAGACTAATATTGTATAACACCACCAAGATTTGAGAATATGCATGTAGTTTCTTATTGTTGAGAAAAGATGATATATTTTATCCTGAAAAGAAATGGCAAAAAGATCTGAAATATGTTTTGATGCACTGTTTTGAATGTAAGCATCTAAAAAAGTTAACATTGAAAATAAAAGGTAAAGTTACTGTATTTTCGAGGAGTATTTTGCATCAATAATTTATCACCTCTGTTCCTTAGGAAGCTTTGAACAGTTTAATTGCAGCATAAAATTTGTAAATAAGCTGAATTTTACAAGTAATATGTGAATATTGGTTCATACTTTATTTTATCCATTTGCTTGAATTGATCACACCATTCGAATTGCTTGGCACATTGCCATGATATTTCATTTTAAGGAAGTGTGATGGTGGTCATACCTTAAATTATTGATAATAGTAGGCCAATACAGTTTACCAATTTGCAGTAAACTAATGTCATAGAAACTTGTATGCCAATAATTGTTCGGTTAACAGTTTTTGTGCACAAACTGTCTAAATTTTTTAAAGGAAATTAAAGTAGCAACAATTCAGAAATGCAATATGAAAGATTGCAAGTAATTCATTGACTGTAAGTGTTGCTGTTTTTATATACAGGTAGTATTACTTCTTTCCCCCCACCCCCTTTTCAGAATTTAATAAATGTTTAAAAGTGAATTTATGTGTATGGGGGGTATAAGGTGGAAATTTATTGTTATAAGGTGCTTTTCACATGTGCGTGAGATTTGAATGCATTATGTACAATTTGAAAATATAAAGTATAATGCTGATGTTTGTATCATATGTTTAAATATTTTCTTTAATGGGCTATTAAAATCAACTCTGTTTTGGTCTGTGCCCAGTCTTTATTTATTTATGTGTGGTAGGATGCAGTTGTATCATGTATTGCCAACATGCTCCGAGATCGTTATTAAAAAAAAAAAAAAAAAAAAAAACGAACAGCACTAATTACTTGTCTTGCACCACCTTAATACCTGTGCCACATTCAGCTCAGTTAAGCAAGTTAAAGGAAAGAATATAATTATAGACCTATCGTTGACAAAGATGGGCAATGTTTGATAACAGTATTAAAACTAACATTTACTAGTGCAATCACTGTGGGACAGAGCACCTCTACATTAATGATGATAGGCCTAATGATGGTTTTTGAGCCCTTAGAAAATTCAGGTTACGTAGATCATGGTTAACAACTATATATAAACATGGTCGATAGACGAATTTAAGTTTTTAAAATCAACTGTGGTTAATGGGCATAACAACAAAATTCTGTGATCAGTCAGAGTTAAAAAAAACGTTATTCAAAGGAATATGTCAAATCCAAAGTGTAGGAAAAAAAAACGTTATTCAAAGGAATATGTCAAATCCAAAGTGTAGGCAATTTAAGAGCATAAAAGCAACATCACCACGGTTTCCCTGTGGTAAATTGTAATTTTTTCTACATATCACACCAATACCCAATCCATTTGTCCATTTGAAAAAAAAAATTCTCCAATTGAGGATAGGCGGCGCTCCCGACTCCTTAGTCAACTTATCAAATTTATATGAACTATTTTTAACATAAGTAACAATGTCAGCAACATTAACATGAAAACATTGTATAGGGGGAGAATCGATGCAGGGGAGTAAAGATATGCTTGGGAGTAACGGTGCACGTACAGTACGTTGTATATTGCGGTAATTTTAGAGGGGTTGTATCGATGTGCCGGGTAGCAGGGGTGGATCCAGAATTATTTGAAGGGGGAGTCCGGAACGACAGCTAGGCCTCGTATGCGAAGCCGACCATCGTCCCCATGGTGTGGGATTCAGGTCCTGCTCAAGAGCCCCGAAAATTTTTTGGTGTTTTGGAGAGCAAATATGCCCTTTGATACAGTTTATAACTGTAATTTAGTTAGTCAAAATTCTAATTTCAAGAGGGAAATAATGGAGTGATATATTTTTCAAAAACCGAGGGGGGGGGGGTGTCAGGACCCCCCTCAGGAGTATCAATCCCTATCAGTTATATATATATATATATATATATATATATATATATATATATTTTTTTTTTTTTTTTTTTTTTTTATTTTTTTTTTTTTTTTTTTTT